GTATGCCAATTCTGGCATCACAATTATATATTAATTTTTCCGAAATTATGTTCATTTTACATAAAGTTTATCTTAAAATGTGTTCAAGAATCTCTTATAAAATTTTTATACATACAATATTATCTTTTAACGATGTAAAACTTCATATCGGGTTGAGTAAAAAGTTTTCCGCCAGAAAAAAATAATCGCGTAAAATGATAAATACATACAAAATCAGCAAAGCTAATGAGGATAGTAATTCAAATCAACAATGGTCTGCCAGCATTTGGACAACTTTTTAATCTCTTCTGCGAATAACTGTGTCCAGAAAGCGATCGACCTCATTTATGACCTCGTCAATTGAATGGAAGATTGTGCCATCAAGATGCAGCTGCAGATGTAAAAACAGATAGTAATTCGAAGTCACCTTGTCTGGCTGTATGGTGGATGTTGCATCAAATCCCATTCCAGCGTGTAGAGCGTCCAGCCGGTCATCGCATTTGCGTGTGGCCGGGCGCTATCTTGAAGAAAGAGAACTACCTTCCGTCTGAACTTTGATTAGCATATTGCTGTATATTGTTCAGTTGATAGCCTGCCCGCTTTTCAGGTACTTTTCATAGATAATTCGACAATCCCACCAGATACAGAGAAACACCTTCTAGTTAGCGTTTGTCTTGCAACCGAACCAACTGATTCCCCGGGTGCTGACCACCCTCCTTTTCGGCTTGTATTCTTGTAGTACACCCATTTTTCCTCACGGGTCACAATTTTGTCCGGAATGTTCTCTTTTCGTTGATCTCTGAGCAAAGCCAAACAGAGGCCGCTTTTCTCTTGTCTTCAGCAGTCAATTTGTGAGGCACCCAGCGGTTAAACTTAAACGTTAGATTTATGTGTTTGAGAGCACTAACTATTGTTTTTTTTAGGTAAACGTCAATCTCTAATGCAATAGTTCGTGTTGAAACATTTCTGCCTTGATCAATGATTTGCTTTAACTCGTCACTATCAACCTCAATAGGGAGGCTAGAACGTAGTTCATCTTCAATGTCAAAATTCCCAGCTTTAAACTTTCGAAACCAAACTTATATACCAACCAACTGTATCATAAGAAACAGTATTGAAACCTAAACTTTCAAACATTTTTTTGTGGCATTCAGTTGCACTGAGTTTATTTTGGAACTCATAGTACATAATCGTTCTGATCTGTCGATGTGATATCTCCATATTAAACACTTTTTTTGGTGCACAAGATAATAAAGTTTTGACGAACAAATTACACAGTTGTGTAGTTCAAACTTTTAATTTTAGAATGCAAAAACCAGTTTGGAGAAAGGTTAACTACCACTGGAATGGCTACTGTTAGCGCGGAGGTATCTGCCTTTGATGGAAACCTTTATACTCAACCCGATATTTTGTATAATCTTATTTTTACAGCATAAGAAATATTGTATAGAAAAAGAAAACTACACTGAGTACTGAGCATTTCACTTGACACTTTGACTGTCAAACATTATGCGCATTATATATAAATGCATTAGTTGTCTTTTCTTATATTGTGTGTATACATAGTTTAGGTGCTCATTTATCATCTAATGGATACTTTGTCTAGTACCCTGCTTTTTCGATTTAAAAAGGGTTTTGATTTTTCCTTTTTTTTAAAGTACCTAAAACTATTAAAACAAACGTGTAAATTTTAAGAATTCACTGACAACAAACAGGAATTATTGCTCCTTGGCCTTTTTAAAAACAATATTACATTTATTAATTTTCAGGCAGCAAATATTTCAAAGCATTTGCAGAGAGCTGCTGAAGATTTACAAAATACCATTAAAAATGAAAGTTTTAATGGAATTGGTGTCATTGACTGGGAAGCTTGGAGACCTTCGTGGAATTTCAATTGGATACCCTTAGATATTTACAGAGAAAAGTCAAGGGAGTTTGCAAGAAAACAAAGTTCAACTTTGAATGATAAAGAAATAGAAGAATTAGCAAAACACCAATGGGGAAATGGTGCTAGGTGATAACAGAATTTAATTTGTTAGTAACAATACTTTATTTAATATAGATTTAGCGTTAATAATCCTTATATGTTTAATATCATATACCTTAGATCTTACATGCTAGAAACACTTGAACTTTCAAAGAAATTGAGACCATCTGCAAATTGGGGCTATTATTTATTTCCTGACTGTTACAATTATGTGGGAAAGAAGCCTGCAGATTTTGAGTGCTCCGAAAAAGTGAAAATTGAAAATGACAAGTAAGTGAATTTTCATTTAGAATATTTAAGATTTTTACAAAGAAATTTTAGATATAAAATTACTTTAAACTCAAAATCTATGGATGGTGTTTTCTACACAAGGGTGCACTGCAAGCTCTAAATTGCCTATACTAAGGATTACTGTTTCTGGTGTATTTTGAAACCATTGGACTCACAACGTGATTATTGTGTTTTGAGACTATCTTGATCAGTTTTTCTTGTATACGTGTATTTGTTACCTGATTTATTATTTGTGTTTAAAAAAAGAACCGTTATAAGAATCGTCATTTGAAGACCTGACAGTTCAAGACGCAAGAATCGTTATAAAACACTTTTTAAACTTGACAACAATAAACCAACTTCGAACTTAACTCCTAAATGTTAATTTGTAAAATGAACTTAATCTCACTGCTGGAGCAATATGCTAACACTAACGTATGATGGTGCACGGCTTGCAACAAGAACAGTAAAAAAGAAATCAAATCGGGACTGCCAAATAAAGCGAGTTCTTTCTAAATCTAGCTACCATGTCATCTTTTTTAACACTACATCTATAAATATCTAAAAAATTATACGAAATATTTATTAGAAAATTATGGCAAAAGTATAACAAATATAGTACTAACGGAAAATTCTAATTTGTTCCGCTCAATTTTTAATAAATGTGGTTCAATTTTCGGTAGTTCTTACAGAATGTTGCCAAATTACCGAAAAGAAAAAAATTTTGAGAAAAAGGAAAAAATCAAATTTTGAGATGAACATTTAATCGAGTAATGCAATCAGTTTTGTAAAAAATAAAGAATTTCAAAAAGCTTTTTCAGATGTTTTGTAAAACAAGTTCAGACCCCATAATGTTAAATTGTACTTTTTGCGTAGTTTTCGCTATATCTCGAGAACTTCATAAGTGGATTGAAAAATTTTTGAAAAAAAAATTAAAATTTTGAATTAAAAAATTAATTTATTCAGAGATAATACCGTGTAAAAAATCATTTTTAGTAAATATTTACCACGTTTTATTATTTTATTTAATATTAGTCGAAAAAATTTTGAGTTGTAAGGTATATAATTTTTTACATCGTTTTAAAGAATAATATATAATTAATTTAATTTTACATGACAAAATGCAAAAATTGAGTGTAATCGGTCGAATAGTACCTGTGAAATCAAATTTCAAAAAAGTTGTATTTTAAAAATTTGATTTCTCAGGAACTATTAAACCATTTTCATTCAAATTTCGTATTTTTCTCTGTAAAATTATGTTCTTTAAAATGATGTAAAAAATTTTATACCTTAGAATTCAAAATTTTTTCGACTAATATTAAATAAAATAATAAACATTTTTACCGTAGTAATATCTTTTGATAAAGGAATTTTATAATTGTGTGTAAAAAGTTTTCAATTAGCTTTTAAATTTCTAGAGATATGGCGAAATACACAAAAAGTAAAATTAATATTAAAGAGACCAAACTATAGAGACTACCACCTGTATTTTTTTTTTTTGGGGGGGGGGGTCCGAAATCCGAATCCGTTGAAGAAAGAAAAGTATGTTTATATAGGGAAAGTACGTTTTTGTGTCTAATTTCGTAACTTAAAATATTTTTTGCATGAATTAATTAGCATATTTGAGGCCACTCCCTCGAACCATGCAAAATGAGTCCTGGAACGTGAAGATCCGATCATTAGATAAAAAGTTATTCAGGGTGGTCCGTTTATTTATTAATTTTTTCTGTGCACTACACAGCAAAATTTAAATTCTCAAAATTAAGTTACATACAAATTAATCACAAGAAATTTAATTTGAAAACTGTGAAATGGTGGTTAAAAAGGACGATGGAAAAAATCCATGACTAAATAACTAAACTGAAGAAAAATCATGCAGATTAAATTAAATAAATGCTATCAGTATAAATACACCACTAGATAAATTAAATTCTCACTAATATTGTCTTTCTTGCTTCAATAGCAGCAGACATCTAAAAACTCAGTGACGGGAAGAGATCTTTAGTTCAGCGGTTCCCAGTTTTTTTCGGTTACGGAACTAAACAGGAGAGTTTTTTTTTGTTTTGTTTCGGCGGAATCCCGACTTTTAAAAAATAAAGCTCATTAGCAAATGTGAATATGATAGAGAAAAAAAGGAACAATTTGGAAACATTTATAGGGTAGGTAGACCTGCGCAATGGGTTAATGGCGACGGTGTGGGAAACATCCCTAAGGATGATCCGAAGACATGCCACCGCAAATCCTCTGCAGAGGGGATACAGGGAAAAACGAAATTTATCAATTGTTTCATCAATATCAGTCATAAATTAGACAATTGGATTCTTAGATCTGCAGCAGCTTTGGATAAAATAAGCTGAATTAGGGTTTTCGAAATTGAAAAAGATTTATTTTAAACTGTTAATATGGTTTTTGGAAAAAAGAATTCTTAATTTTTGAATTCGATTATTTTATTTTGAATTTCAACGTTCGATGAGAAATACCTCTACATGAATAAGATGAGAAATAATTATGGAACTTTTTGTTTTAAATTTTGTCATTGAATAATTTCATAAAAATAACCGAAACATTAAATATATTGGTTTGGCCTATTAAAGGTTTCAAAAATCAATTGGTTAAAATAACAAAAATCCTAATTAACGTAGTGAATCCTTGTGAATTTTCCACGGAACCTTAGGGTTCCGTGGAACACCTTTTGGTTACCGTTGTTTTAGTTAGACTAACAATATACCGTGCTCCTAAAATATGTATATCATTCCGTAATATTTTTCTGCTAAGATTAGGCAAGTATTTCTGCAGCGGTCCTCTGCAAAAACTTCTCTGTGAAAAGTTAAAACCTTTACGAAAACTTTGTTACACATTATCGCGCTAGCAGTTTTTATTTTTGAAAAATAATCTGCAGAGCCCGCTGCCGTGCTGTAGGGTTTCTGCTACAAGGCTGACGCTTGGTAAAATGGTATAATCTCGTAATTAAAATAATACAACTTGAAATTATTTAAATAATTATGTTGTAAAACAAGCTGAAAGTACTATTTTGAAAATCTATCTTTTTTTATTAACTTACCAAAACATGACTATTTGAATAAAAAGAAATAAAAATTTAACAGTCACCATTATAATTTAAAAAAAAAAAATTAATTCTTCAGTTTGTCTCCAAATATTAGCCGCTGTTATCTTCTATTTCATATTTTATAACCGATAACATAAGAATAGTAGTCAGTCATTAATTAATACACATTATGTCTAACCACATAACAGGTGGGAATACGGGAACTATCTATTAATTAATTTTGCAGACTAAATTCAGACACCCATACGTTTAATAACATAAAGCACATAACTACACAACACAAATTAGTAAAGGCACTAAACAGAATGCAAAGTTTCTTTTTCAAGAGTACTAGTTCAAAATAATTACCCAACTTTCATAAAATGTCAGTAATATTTTTAATAAACAATTATAAAGAATTAAGATACGTCTACTTTGTTGTATTAAATCGATTTTCAACTTAAACTTAAAAAGAAAACATTTAGAATCTTAAAATAATCACCAAAAAAAGAAACTATTATTGAAATAAATGGAATTATAGAAGTAGTTACAGTTCCATTATTTATTCATTAGTAATATTTTTAAGTGGCAATTTTTTTATGCGTAAGCATTTTTATGTGTTTCAAGTGTCAATGGAGGTGGGAAAAATTCAATATCGGGGGGGGGGGGGGGGGGGNGGGGGGGGGGGGGGGGGGTTCCTTCTCTCCTCTTTTAAGTTAATTTTTTTTTTTTTTTTTTGAAAACTAAGGAAAATAAGCTATCACGACAGGAAAGATTCTTTTAAAATTTAAAAATAGAGCAGCAAACTGGAAAAAAAAAAGTTTTTCTGTAGTGTAAAATTTAAGATTCAGTTACATTCACAATATTCAAGTAATCTACAGTTAAATTTACATTCTGTCAGCTATTCCCTGACCTAAAGGTTTTTGTTTCGCGCTTTATTAGCTGGATAGGAGCTTTTTTCTGATACCTTTGAAATTTATAAGTATTGAACATCTGGAGTTCGTCAACATGAAAAGAAATACGGTAAAAAGTGAAGCATCTTTGAAGCTCGGGAGGTTCCTATATGAAGGGATATTAAAAGAAGAATATTATAATAGGATATTGTTACAAGCAAAGTAAAATTAACAAATAGATTCGCCATTTTTATAACTATTGGTCCAATGATAGGATTTTCATGTACTAGCATGATGCAATCATAATGATTATAGACTAGAGATGTGCTCGGTCCCAGTAAACTTGAATCTTTTACCCGGCCAGTTCCAAGTACTCAGCGCAAATATTTTATTTCTTACCCGGCCTGTTCCGGGTATCCAATAAAATTTTGATTTATTACTCGATTACTATTTTAAACTAAATCTTTAACGTTTCTAAGAGAAATTTGGGAGGACTGTTTCGATGCAGCGGATACTTTTTTTTTTTTAATTTGATTCACTAAAATTTTCAATGTGTTACCCGGCACTGTATATCCGATAAATTTGACCAGGTTCATGGTAACCAGTCTTGAGAATAAAAATGGGTCCGAGAACCCGGGTAACTGGCACATCCGAAATATGGAGCTTAAATATGCTAATTAAATAGTGCTGACGATATTTTAAATAACAAGATCAGGCATAACAGAAGTTTTCTTAGCATAGACATCCCTCCCCCCCCCCTTCGGATTCAGTTTTTCGATTCTCGAAATTAATAGAGTAAACGCAGCTGAAAAATACGAGATCTCAATAGTTCAAAATCCCAAATCAAATATATATTATTAGCGTGTTTCTCCGTATCTCCGAAACTATTTATTTGAATCAGAAAAAATTTGCAAACAAATATAAAACTTTTTTATTCAAAAATATTATAATTACATGCATTTTTTAAATTTTTTTTATCAAATAAAGTCCAAAACAATTATTTTGAATAGGGTATACCAGGTAATTGCCGAGTATCTGGTACACCTCTTACAGATAGTTTTGAAGAGTAAGATCGAAAATTATAAAGGCTTAATAATTCTAGAGAAATGAAACTTTAAATATACGACTTTTATTGCTCAGAAACTATACTGAACCGATTTCGTGTAATTTCGAGTTTTACTCACACTGATCTGCACAAAAATAATAAATTTTTTAAATAACTTGTTTGTTTTTTTAAATGTTTATTTAACGATATGAGATTTGTTATATTCCTATGTTAATAAATTGCGTTATGGCTATTTACATTTTTTTCGATTTCATTGTTCATTCAAGCTAGTTAAAATTTAATTTTTATCAAAAATTAATACACGTGGGTCATAATTATTATTCTGAATATAATTTCTGTAATGCGTTTTAAAACATTGAAATTTACTATGAAACTTTCAATTAATGATTCTATTAGGTTTCTCCAGAAAAATGTATAAAGAGTAATTTAAAAAAAAAAAAAAAATTTCAAAAGTTAATTTTTTTTAAATAATCAGTAAACATTACTGAAAGTGGTTTAAAATCATCTTATTTAAAACTATATACGACCAAAAAGAATTTTTTTTTTTTTTGCATACCAGAGATACACATGGTTTATAATTTTGATTCACGTAATCAGTTTTTGAGATATATAACTAAGACAAATTCAAATAACATCAAGGGTCACAAATCTTTGAAAAATTATCGTCTGACTAAACTATTGGAGCCACATCTGTGAAATTATGGCTATGCTCACATTGTGAGAGTTCAAAAATCCGAATTCATCGAGAAGATTTTATTACCAGATTTTACACTTGAAATAATAATTAGCACTAATAAAAAGTAAAATACTTGCCAGCTTGTCTGGCATGAAGGATAAGGCTCCGAAATTGCGACTTCAAAATCATGATGATCTGCATCGCGCACTGCCTGTTTTTACTTCTCAAATTAGCTAGTTATAATCAATTTGAAGCAAGATGGGATTCAAGTCACCTAGCCGCAGTGGCTCTGGGGATAGAGCGTTCGTTTAACAATGAGGTGGAACCAGGTTGGAATTCCAGCTGTGGCTGGTTGATATTAATTTTACTCCAGGCTCGTATTGACTACACTACTGACGCAAAATCCCCTTGTCGTTGGGCTAATCGTGAGAGGTTTCTCTCTCCATGTAACGCAAATACGGGTTAGTTCCATCAAAAAGTCCTCCACGAAGATCAGTTTGTCCCAGAAGTTTCCTAGTCTTCTGGGTTTGGTTCAAAATTATAAGACACGAAGTTGAACATTGATAGCAGTCGAGTCAGAATTGGGTCGACTGTTCAAGGCCTGTTATAAAATAAAACTCAGTGTCTCAACCACAATACTTTGGATTAATTAGCATACTTAAGGTCTCGGCACATAACTATTAAGCTATAGAAGGTATTATTATCACGTAATATTTGGATAAATTGATCTGAGTTATTATGAGTATTTTTTCTACTGTACTATCGAATAACATATGATATATTTTTTAGATTATCATGGCTATGGAACTCCAGCACGGGCATATTTCCTTCAATATACTTATATGATAATCATTTGGATCATTACACAATGGAACAAAGAAGTTACAAAGATCACGAAAAACTTAAAGAAGCAATAAGAGTTGCACCAGCTGAAGCAAAAATTTTGCCTTACATCAATTTTCACTTAAAAAAAATACTAGTTCCGCAGGTATTTTGCTTTCAAATATGCTTGAAACTAAATAATCTATATTAAAAAGAATGAGGTAAATTAGTAGCGCAGAATTAAAATGAACTTCTTCATTGTTAGCTTGACAGTAAATCTAGATGTCTGCTTTTAAAACATCAAAAAATAATATTAGATTTTTTTATATAAAAGACCGCAAGAAATACAATATGCAAAAATCTACAAAACATCATATTTTTAGAATTACTATAACATAAACTGATTTGGTAATTAAAAGAATGCACAGTAACAAAACACTTTTTTAAAATTAAGATAATCATTTCAGCAACACATCAAGAAAATTAAAAACAGATATCTTTTTTGCTTAACTTTTGGTGAAAGAAGTAAATCTTAAGTTGAAATAGTTTTTTTTTCTTCTCTTTTTTAAATATTTATTCGTCCCGCAATGGACTGATCGTTAAGACACGGTTCCCCGCAGATCACCGAAGTCAAGCATCACTAGCTGCGGTCAGTGTGTGGGTGGGTGATCACTTTTATCAGGACCGAGGGTGTACGGTATTGGTCCTCGCTAAAACTGTTCTACCGCGAAGTGCTCGACTTCGCACACAAGTCGTCAGGCTACCATAGCGGGGGTGCCATCCCCTCTGTAGATGATCAAAATTGTGATGGCATGCCTTCGGATCATCTTCAGCGATGCTTCCCATACCGTCGCTCATAGCCCATTGTGCAGCTCTAGTGCGACGTAAATAAATTACAATAACATATTTATTCATATTGCAGAATCATAAAACTTTAAGATGTTTTTGCATAATTTACTTTCTTTCCTTATAAAATTGTTCAAGATATAATAAAAATGCTTAGTTATTATTCATAGTTTTAACTAATACATTGCAACATTGATCAATTAATTCTCTAATTGTAATAATATTGTAACTAACATTTACTAAACTTACATTAACAGTTACTAAAGAATTACCCAGTACATAACTCATAAAAATACTTTTGTATTGTATAAACTATAGGCTCTTATTCTATGTTGAAATATAGGAAAATTTAATTATTTACACAGGGTGATTTTGAAAGAATGGCAGCTCAGGCAGCAGCAATAGGAGCTGATGGTTTCATAATATGGGGATCTTCCTCGGCAGTTAGTTCAAGAACTCATTGTAACGAAGTAAATGAATACATCACTCAAGTTCTTGGACCAGCTGTCAAAAAAATATCAAGAAACGCAGAGTTATGTTCAAGAACGGTATGCCATGGAAATGGTCACTGTACTTGGCCAAATGATAAAACTGTGACAGCATGGAAAGAATTTTTAAAAGAGTATCCTAGTTTCTACAAAAATGAGATAGTGTGTAAATGCAAAATACTTTATACCGGCACCTTTTGTGGACATCAATTAAATAAATTACCTAATCAATAATTGGAGAACAAATTTTTCTGGGGAAAAATAATGGCTTTAACACCATTATGAATTATTATAAAAAGCTAAAATTTTTGTATAAAGGGATTCAACTGAATAGATGAACCTTCACTGGTGCATAAGCGCAATTTTTAAGCTTAAAAAAAACCGTTTATTGTTGTAAAAATGAAATAGCTCCTTTTTTTATTTAAACCAATATTAATTTGTGCGTGTGTGCAGAGTTAAACTTTAGTGTTTTATAAGCTCTCAACAAGTTATTATTTTGGGCACCGATTTGACTTAATTTCATAGCACGATTTGCACATTTACAATACGCTTCATTTAGCAACTTTTGTCCTTTTAACTTCATGTTATAAACCTTTTTCGGTCTGTTCTCAGACACCAGATCTATTGAATATCAACAAAATACGGCCACAAAGTGTAAACACAAAAACAAGAGAGTAGACATGAATCTAATCCATTAGATATAGTATTATAAATTAGATGTAATTAGAGTGGGTCAAAAATTTGGAGCTCATAAAAATTTAGATGAATTTTTTTAAAAGGATTATTGTTGAAAAGACTTTTTCTTTTTTAATTTCTACTTTCAGAGCAATGTTTTAATTCCTACCTCAAAAACGAGGCAAAAAGCAGCTTTGCTTAAAATTTGAATATTAACTCAGCTACTTTAGAGGAAATGGGTTCTCCTTATAACTAATAAAGTGTATAAATATTATTTAAAATTTTTTGTTGATATTGAAAATAATTCATCTGATTATGAATAAAATTGCATTAAAAAACATTTTTGGATTTAACTAGCCAAAATTTGCAAATGGGCAAAAAATGACCAGTTGTAGGAGCTTTATATCATAATGAAAAATCCCCAGGAAGCTAGTGTATGCCAGACATACTCTCCATCTTTTAGTCAGAACATCACTATGTTATTGAAGCTATTTGCATTACATTTTAATAAATATTTATGATGTAAATGTATTTTGTCTTTGTTCACTTCCACTTGACACATCATAACAACAGCCAACTGCATTAACAAAGTAACTGAAATTAAAAGTAAGCTGACACTTAAGGATATATTTGATCCTGCTGTGTTTATAAATACGATAATTAATTTTCATAGACATAAAGTTGGAATACTTAGTCACCACACATAGGAATAACATGTATGTGACACCAAAAAGCATGAAGGTGGCATTTAAAACATTTACATTTCTGGCCTTATTTAATAAAAAAAAGTATTAAGGCAGCAAAGCTTTTACACCAAGACAAATTTAAAATCAATAATTCTGTTTGCTGATAACCCAACAATGATTAAATTCTGGTACAAAATTTTAACTAAGAAGAAAATAAAAACATATTTGAAGAAAAGCAGGATAAATTTACTAAATTAGTTTGTTTTTAAATAAATAAACAAAAAGTTTTAACTGGAATTTTTTATTTTGATTTAAAAAAAAATATAGTTAAACCAGCAGCATATGCAAAGAAAAAATTGTAATACTTTATAAAATAGTGATACATAGAATGAAAATACGTCTGCTGATAATTTTTGTAAGCCTGTGAAAACATGTAAAATCTTGAGGCATTGCAAATCAAACTTGCCAAAAAGACACAACTAAAAGATTTGGAAAAAAAAATCAAAATAGTTCATGTAACATACAGAGTAAATTTAAGGAGTATTAAAGCTTAACTTTTTTTTTTTCAGTGAATAACAGTTGTAGTAAGTAGCACAACAAGCTTCCAATAATATATTTCAGATTAGCTAACTTTTGGTGATACAGGATGCACTTGGATAGCTAGAAACCACACAACAGTAAGTAAACTTCAAATTACATAGGGTGATTCAAAAAAATTTGGCCAATGAGAAAGGACAAAGCAGGCATACAAAGAGAATAAAAAACCATATAGGAACAAGCAGTAGCAAATGGTTCTGGTAGAGGCGAATGCAAACTAAACCTAATATACAAGGACAATAAACAAAAATCATTTTAAATTACTTTATTATTATAGTATTTCAATCTGTTATGCTTTAACCACCAATACACCTACACAAGATGGTGAAAGTTGTTTATTTGGGCAAGTTCTATCACCCCTTACAGTTGTGACCACTAGTTTAATAACACCCTACCTTAATAATTTTATTTCAGAAAATCTATATTAGAATTAATAGGTTTCCATGTTTCAATCAGTTATTGGCATTCAAGTTAGTTGAAAATAATTACCTGTTATAATTATTGTTATAAAAAAAATTTATCAAAATCAGTCAGAAATCATAATCAGATTTAGAGTGAAAAAAAATCATTTAATAGAATCAAAAACCTGTCCTAATTAACCTTGACAATGCTTTCAGAGTTTGGTAATTTTCTTTTCTTCCTTGAATATTAATTTGTAACATTTAATGTGTAAATTATTAAGACTTCACTGTTGACAAGGATTCTAAAATTTTTTCCAAAGTTCTTTTTTTGAAGATGAGGTCACAACAAGATATAAAATTATGGAACACCTTATATAAGGAAATTTATTATTTTATGTGGTATCACAGTTTGCCAATATGCCCATTTTATGCATCAAAGTTAAGTTTAACTCCTCGAAAATTTTACCGTGAAGGAAAATACTGCTTGTAGAATTTTTGTTAAAATTGATAAGTTTTCTCTCTGGCTCTTAAATACTTTACAAATTAATCAGTTAGTTAGTTAGTTCTTTGAGAGCTATTGGTGCAAGTGCCAAAATCAATCAGCAAAGTGTAAAAATTAAAACTGATACCCCTTTCGAGTAACTTGAATTCAAAAAACATATCGCTTTAACATTGCCAATAACTATAGCTGCTTGTGAAAGAGATTTTGCAAGTTAAAATAGAACAGTCATTAAAAAACAAGCTTTGCCTGGTGATAAACATTTAGATGAACTTTAAGTTGTGAAGAACCTCTTAATCTTGCTACTAAGGTAAGATTAACATAATACAACATAAATTTCAAACATACTGAAAAAAGCACTAAAAAAACCCCTAAAAATTTTATTATTAAATTCCGTTTTGTTAGGAACTTTAGTCTAATTAGCCTGTAGAGAGCGAAAAAAATTGGAAATAGTGTGTCATAATGTTGTTTAGTTATATATTCAATTTATAACTCTAGAATATATCTGTTTATAATGTAAACTATGCTATAAATGGGCAATAATTTACAAACGTGAACTTTGCTTTGAAATTCAATCTTATATTTTAAAATTTACTTCTTAAAAAATTTAAGTAACATGAATGAGTAACATGTGTATAGTTTTTTATTTTTCTAATTATGGCATATACATTAATAGACATACAACCAAAATGGTAACTTAAATTTATATTTATCCTAAAATTTAGTATTATTCAGAAGAAAATTTTTTTTTAACACAGTATCAGATGTGATGAGATGACTGTTGCTGGAAATTTGAAGTTTTCTTTATGTCTTTCAGTTAATTTGTACAAATTCATAAGTAATTACTTTTTAACAGCAACTTTAAATCCATTGCATAAATAGAACTTTCATAACAAAATGGTCATATTCAGGAACTTTGAAAAAGACTGTAAACTAGATCAGTAACTTACTGTTACAAAGCATGGCTGAAAATTTTTTTTTCTTCTCTCCTTTCATGTTTTTAATATTTCAGACAGCTCAGGGGCCCCAAGTTGAAAGGCTTTGAGGGCCACTTTTACCATAGGTTGAGCATCCCTGGTTTAGAGTAATTGAAACTATTATGTGACATATGAAATTTCAAAAGAAAAGAAACTATTTAATAAACTTATTTTGTAATGGGTGTTTTTATTCTTCACAGTTGACAAGCTTGTAAATCCTGAATTACAAAAGCATATTTACTCTTAATACAAATTAGAAAATAATCATCAAACATATCATCATTATATCTAAATGAGTGAATTCATCAGAAAAATTAATTAGTGCAAGTACTGAAAATAATATTATCTCACTTGAAAGTTAATAAAAACAAAAAAGTTCGATGAGCGAGATTCTCATGACTTTCGATTATATCACCATAGTCTGTTAATATTCCAGCAAATTTAAAATAAAATAAACTAAAAAAACTTTGTTAAATCCAATTTTAAAGATTGGTGTTACTCTGAATTAGAGTTGCAATGGCATTTAAGCAATAAACTGGTATTTTTATAATCGAGAATACATTTAAAAAAATTATTATATGAATATATAAATTTATCTTTAATTAACAGCAGATTTAAAAGCTGTTCTAAGAATGTGGCAAACAGAGCATCTGCCCAAGGCCCACATTACAGAACTGTAGAGAGGTCCCACATAAATTTTTTTGGTTAATTGTAAAAATTTAGATAAGTTTTTCAAAATTACTTCGGAAATAAAAATGATCAAAATTATTTCTAAAGACCCAGTACAAGAAAACTATTCATAAAAATCAAAAAAATATGAAAAATAAAATGCATTTAATCATTTTTTGTTGATTAAGTAGGACTCTTAAACACAAAGTTTTATATTTCCTCCTTATGGTTCCTGCGCTTAATAAATTATCAATAAAACTCAAGTGACAGTATGAATTTGACAATAAAATAAAATCTAAATAAATGTTAATGTTGTTCGATCCTAAGAATGAAATAAAAAAAAACTTCGAAATAAATCATGTAATTTATTTCAATAATTTAAGCGAAAACCTAATGATCACTAAGGGTCCTTCAAAATTTAAAAAAGTCCTGCAAGACGTTTTGCCCAAGGCTCCTACAAAATCTACCAATAGTTTTGCTTAACACATAACTGCAAAACATAAAAATTTCTTTGTGTAAACAAACTATTTTTTCCAAGCAAAATCATTATTTTCTTCCAATCACACAATCCTTTTAAAATGCATAGAATTTCCCTTGTTAATAGGAAGATTTCCATATTGTGATCAGGGATAGGATTATCACCAAGTGTTGGCGACTACCAAGCAGCAGCTAGCAAAAAACATCACAGAAGGGGACCAACAGAAAAATTGGTGTGCCAGATCACGATACAGATATATCCTGCAGTAATTGTTTTTTTTTTTTTCTTCAAAGGAATGAAAATATTTCCTTTTCCAGGCTAGAATGTAAATTTAGTGTTTTAGGAAGGGATGATATAGTACAGAAACTCTTATGAGAAAACTTTAAACAAAACTACCCAGATTTAAAACAAACTGGGTGTTTTTAACTAAGCAAATCATCAATGATTGAAGGTATTAGTATTAAAAAAAAAAAAAAACAAGACATATTATCCAAAAAAAAACAAATTTTTTTTTTTTACATTCGTTTTGTTCAGAATTAGAATAATCAGTAAGTAATTTTTTATTTGAGTTGCTACTTAAGATCATATGAAATGAATCTTAGGCCGTGAAAATGTTGTCTGTTATGTCAGAAAAGCAGTAGGTATCCTTAGGAATAGCATGCAAATTCTTATTTCTCTTGAGTCGGTGGTAATAAAACTTTTAAGCAATGGGAGCAGGATATATCTTTAAGTAATTGTTTAATACAATCGAAAAATTATATTAACTGGAACAATTAAAGAAGATTACATATTAACAAATAATGTAAGTGATTCCAAAATTGTAAAATAATCATTAGAATAAAAATACAAACTGTTGTTTTTTATTCATAAATACGTATATTTTACCTATTTTATCAAAAATACTATATATAATTTGTAAAAAGAACAATGTGACGCTAGGAAACTAAAATTAGCTGAACATAAGTAATGCCTACTCTAGCAGCGTGTGTTTGTGTGAATCAAATCAAAACAATAATAAAGCTCGACTCACAGTCGAGATAGACCGAAATCGGTAATATTCGGTGCATTTCGGAGAATTGTACACAAAAACTTATAAATAAAGGAACCAATCAAAATAGAGATAATTAAGCATGTGACTTTAGCTGACCAATAAGATCTAAGTTAATTTGTAAACTGTCTGTTCGGAGATAATCGTTCTTTTCTGTCAGCGCAGAAAAGTTTCTAGTTATTGCCGCCATTTTGTACTACCCGAGGATTGTTTGGTCTGTATTGTCAACATATGCGTTAGCATACGGGATAACCGTACGTTGGTTACTTCGCAGTACGTGCTGCTGGTTTGTGTTTATCATGTGTGACTACTGAGGAGGTTGTAAAGCTGATCGTCAAAAGTCATTCGTGATTGTAAACATTATGTTATGCTTTCGTTCGAGTTTGTTTGTGAATATGGAATTAAGATAAAATCATAAGGATACTGAGCAATTTCATCTATAGATATAAAAAGCGGTATGTAACTTAGCGATTTCAACACAATGATTATTAGCCTTGAGTGCCTTTACCATGGAAATGTACATCGAACAACATGGCACTCGTCGGGGCCTCCAGTGCGGTTAAGTATTAACTGCACTCTAATATGTCTTAAATTTTGTGAAATCTGACAAATTTGGCCATTCGGGAATTGGTCCGAAACTTGAAGCAATTAGCTTCAAGTTAGGCTTACTCATCATGGCTGACCACTTAGTTGATGGACCGCCGAATAAGCGACCAAAACTGAGTGAAAACGCTATTTCTGACACACCAGGTAAGTTTTGTTGTTCTTTAATCTTTGTGTGTATATAGTATGTTTCAGATGTATTATTTTTCTACAAGTGTATATTTCTCTATAAGCATGTTTTATTATATTATTTTATAAGCTTAAACCTTCCTTTAACGCTTTGTTTACATTTTTACTAACCAGAAATGAAGTTTGTTTTAATTTTATTTCTTCTCTAAAAAGCTTCTACAATTATTTGTTTGTACCGAGTGATATTATGATTTACTGATGTTTACATTGGGATGTTTTGGTACCATTGTTTACTTTTTATCATTGATTTTACTTTTAGAATTGAACTAATATGGAATTATTTTAACATGAACTTGAGGAATTAAGTTTTATTTTCCAGAAGCAATATTCTCTACAGATAGTTAAGTTTCCTGGGCTCAATTAAAATTTTAATAAACTTGTTTTGATATTAAATTGTGGCTATCCTAATATATTTGTTGTGTGTTTCAATCAGTTGTTGTCTATTGATATTTTTGAGAATATATGCTGTTTTAATTATAAAAACGATTTATTAGTTATAATAGAATGGGGGATATTTCTGTATATCGGTCCAATGCTCCAACTACAATCGCCTAGATGCCAAATGGATTTAGAACTTTCACATTTTAAGAAAATACATGTGTCACAATCTGCGGTAGAATAATGTGTAAAGTCGTAGCGGGAAGATTTTCATATTGTGAACAGTGGCAGAATAATCGCCGAGTCTTGGCAACTTCCAGGCAGCGACCCTCGAGAAACCAAACAAAAACACAACAGAAAGGGACCAAATAGAAGGCAGGCACCCCAAGCAATCATTTACATGTTGTTTTTTTTAAAATTGTGCTTGGTTAATATTAATTTGCGATTGTAGTTTGCTTGGCAGATCTCGATACAGAAATATCATAGCAACTTCATTGCTGCAGCTCTATAAAAAAAAATTCATAGAAGGGGAAATTGGTATGACGGATCACGTCATGGAAATATATATAAGTCAAAGTTCTAAATGAAAACATCAATAATAGGTTAAAATTATTGAACATAGATACCTCATCAAGGTTCCCACGGCCCTTGACAGTCCTTGAATTTTTTTTTCTCTAAATTTAGGTCCTTGCAAAACTTGATAGGTTCTTGAATTCATCCAGTACTGCCAGTGGCCCTTTTTATAAAACACCCACGGGGACTTTCTCGTTCTTTCTGTTTTGTTCCCGAGATCTCTCTCAAGGTTTTTTGGCGCCACCGTTTCTAGCCGGGCCTAGCGTTTTGGTGTCTGGCCAAGCGCGCGGAGCATAGCAGCCAATCACCGCATCCGGGACGGGACTCCTCTTCATCGTCTGTCGCATATGCTTAGATCGTTCTTTTTTCTAATTGAAACTGTAATACTCTCAAATTTCATAACAATGTCTACCTTGTAGTGTTCAATAAATTGCCCTTTTACCATCCACACTTGTCCTTACATTGGCGTCATTTCAAAACTTTATTGTAAAGCGTATTCGCAAAGGAATGTAGCAAAAGTTATCTGACCAATAGGGAAGCTACACAGGTTAAGTTTATTGTTGTGAAATTTAATGTTTTTTTGGCCGTAGCAAAAATTATGAAACCTTTTCTGAAGACCTACCATAGTGACCAGATGCACTTCTTTTACAATTTTTCTCCGAAGATACATTTAATACAAACAAGCAGTCAGTTGACTTTTTTAACGTTTATAAAAAATAAACCGTGAAAAATTTTTCAAATGCTGCAGAGCTGTGCAAGTTTAATTTTTCCGATGAAGTAAATTTCAATTTAGTGAATGAGATAACCTTAGGATTTGTTGGGGACATTTGTGTTAAGCAGCTTTTAAAAAGAAACAGTTTGCTCTCAAAAGATGCGTTTAATGTCCGCATGGAATCCAGAAGTTTTGTGACAAAACTTCTGGAGAAGCTGTTGAGTAAATGTCCAATTAATTATTGCTTAGTAAGGAATGTATCTTATTTCAATCCAAGAAAAATGGCACTTCAGCCTGAGACTTGTCAAAAGTCTTAAAAATTTTTTTGATGAACTTGAATGAAAAAAAAGTTGTTGTGGATGAAGAATGTGATGAAATAATTTTTCAATTCAAGCATTTTATTGAAACCTTTGTGACTTGCAATAAGTTTTCTTTTCAAAATTTTTCTACAGAGAATGATAGGGTAGACACCTTTTTCCATAGTTTTATCAGTCAGAACAAGAAGGCTTATGATTAATTATGGAATACTATGAAAGTGACTTTTACTCTTTCACATGGACAAGCATCCATTGAAAGAGGTTTCTCCTTCAATAAAAAAATTGAAGTTGAGAATATGATACAAGAATCATATGTTTCTCAAAGAATCATTAAAGATGCTATAAGATGTTACGGAAACATTCTCAATGTACCTATTACTGAAGATATGAGAAGATCAGTGTCTATGGCTCGTCAAAGGTATTTAACTAGTCTAGAGGAAAAGCGCAACAATTAGAAAAACAGAAGAAAAGAAAGGCTATTGTAGAAGAGGTGGATTTTTTGCGATCTAAGAGGGCTTACTTAGAAACTGATGTTACCCAAATGGAGAAGACATATGAAAACCTAACTGAAGAAGCTGAGAGAAAGATAAACATTGATTTATTCATCAGATCAAATCAGGGTTTCCGCTACGGTAGCTTTTTTCGCAAAATGCGAAAAGACCCCTCAAAAATGCTAAAATTCAACAAAGCATTTTCGCATTTTTGCTAAAGGATTTTACTAAATTCCATTTTAAAAAAAAGTTTCCGCGAAAAACCATGACGCTAACATTCATGAAAAAACTTGATCAAACAAGAAGGAGAAAAAATCTAAATATCTTTCGCAAGAAGAACCATGACGCTAGCGTTCACGAAAAAAACGTGATCAAACGAGATGAAGCATAGCGATCAACAAAAATGGCTAGAATATATGAGTTTCACCGAGAAGAAAAGAAAAATAAAC